TTATAGCTCTCCAACAGTAAATAAATATAAACTTTTCTTTGATATTTGATTTCTTGAATCCTAATTCGATATTTTTTTAAATTAGTTGCTCAAATTGTTCAGTTCCATGTTCAGGGGCGCCCTGATACCTCGGAGGCAGAGAGGAGTCAATTTCGGAGTAAATTTTTATGCTTTTAAAAATTGAAGTAAAACTATAAAAAAGATAAATCTTCTAAGCAGTTTTCTTCTAAAGCAAGACTGAATTTCCTTTTATCTAACTCTATTTATTTCAACACAAAGCCCAATAATATAAAAACACCTTATAAATACCTTATAATATAAAAATACATTTACTGAAGTGATGATACAGTCTATTCTACTTATCTTATCTTATTTATGTACATGACAGAAATTTTATTTTCTATCAAACACAGAAAGAGAAAAAACAAATGCTTTACTCTAAAAATGGAAGTCTATGTCTTACTCCGAAAATAGAAGTAAATATCTTACTTTTGAAAAGAGAGTGAATTCCTAACTACGAAACTGAGAGTAAGCCTTTTATACTCTAAAAATGAGAGTAATTGTCTTACTCTGAAACTACTAGTAAACGCTTTACTCCGTGAGATATTCCAGGTAAGTCAAAGACTTAATTTTCGTAGTAAGAAAATCCTGATTCGGAGTAAATTTTTTCAAAAAGCAGGGGTATCCTTTCTCCTCCCCTCTTATAGGGCCGCCCCTGTCCATGTTAATCACTTTTTAAAAGTGTACATTACTTAAATAACCCATGATGAATCATTTTGATATGGATGTAGAATTTTAAGTATGTGGTTATTCATGGTGTTTAGCAAAACAAGGAAGATCGTTTTACGAGTAAGTTGCCTTATTTGAATGAGAAGATTGGCGTAGCCTTTATCAGAATAAAAGAGGAAATTCCACTTTTATGAAGAACTATAAGAAGAAAGAAGCCTTTTAAATAGTACACATTTGTTTTATACTTACCTAATGCATTCTCTTTTGTTCAGCTTTTCAGCGATACAAAAAGTAATTGACCATAAAAAGGTTCCATCTGTTTATCATGGGAAAAAAATTGCTTTCATTGAGAAATTTAATGACCATTTTGAATAAATCATACGAAACCATTTATAAAAACAAAGACAATGATAAAAAAATACATGTCAATTCATCTGTCGAAATTTGGTGAAAATGTATTAGATTTCGGATATCTCGAATTTCATTCAAAAATATTGATATAAACTTTATTTGAGCAGAAAAAACACAAGTAGCGAGGAAAAAAGCTAGATGAATAACTTATTATAGCGTTGACTTCATAACGACGAGGACATACAAATAAAAACGAGACAAGCAACATGGGCATACATTGAAGAATATACAACTAAAAGGCAAATCAGATGTGGCTGACTCGCAAGATGAGTGACAAAAAAAGAGAGGCGAAACATAATTGACAGAAGTCTTGGGGAGAAGAGCATGCGTAGTGTGCGTACACGATATTAGTTCAAAATACGTCAGGTTCTGGTTAAGAAACTCATACAGGCGGGGCCCGTATTATATATTACCAACTTGGACATGCTGATTACGAATATGATATCCAGTCGTTCCTATACAGGGAGTGTGAACAGCTTTCTGAAGCCGATCTCTCGAAAACTAAAAAATTTAAAATGAAATTTTTTACCGAGATTGCGATTTTGTAGAGCATATCAAATTACTTATGTTCCGTTAGTTTGAAGCCTACTGAATGAGTATGAACGATGTTCTGTGTCCAAAAGAATTCGTGGATATTGATAATTTGATATGCTCTACAAAATCGCAACCTCGGAAAAATTTCATTTTTAAATTTTTTAGTTTTCGAGAGATCGGTTTCAGAAATCGGCTCAAGGTCCCTGTATGGCAACGAATGGATATCATATTCGTAATCAACATGTCCAAGTTGGTAAAACGTGCTTAACGTAAAAATTGTTTAATCACCTGAGAATGTTCCTTCGATAGTAGAAGAAGGTCTAAAGAAAAAGGCTTTTGGTGATTTAGCGTTTGCTGCATAATTCGACCTTCCTCGTATTCCTAATATCTCAGAAAAGGAAAATTCAGTCGATACCTAGTACAGACAGTCGCCAAGTTTCCAGGAACACCGTGGCGTAAAAACATATCTAATATCACAACCTTTGACGAGATGCAGTTTTAGATTTTGTTTAAAAACGGATTTTTTTGACTGAAGATACAGAGCAACAAGCAGCTTACTTCAACAGGAGCTACAGCAAAAAAAGCGTTTAAAACCTTTTTCTCGTTCAAGGGTTTTGTACTGTATGTGGCAACTTTGTTCGATCCTAGCTCACGATTATTCGGTTTGACGTATAATAGAGAAGTGTCTGAACGCAAACACTCAGATTCAGCACCTTGAACAATACGAAAGAAAGGATTAAGGCGTAATTCTAAAAAACGCGTTTGAGAACGAAGCCAATGGAGATCCTCTAGGGTTCTTTTATACTGGTGTTTTCCATGGCACCTGAAACTGTGTGTGCCGCCTTTTTTTGTACATTGCAACAGTTAATTTTGCTTCTATATCTGGGCTCCTAAAGTCGAGGAAAAAAATATCTGGTAGTTTTAATAATTCCGTCAGCTGGGTCCAGTGACACTATCTGTATATATAAATGTGGTCATTTTATCGGTTTTTGCAGCACAATTAGTAATGTTATTCATAGTAAATATCAAGTTTTTTTATCGTCTTGTCGTTTTTCTTTCTTATCATAAACATATATTAATTCCATACATTTATTTGATAGAGTATGAATGAATTTCGTATAAAACAGTTGTCTGTTCTAAATTAATGAGGCTTTTCCTTTTCCAGCAATTTTGTTTTCAATTTTGTGTTTGTACTTAGATGTCTTATTAGTTCTTTTTTATATTTTTTTGTTTTTATGTTGTTTTTGTTATTATGCCTTCTCTTTGTTATGTGTGTATCGTGTCTAAGAAACGCGTGTGTACACATAGTAAAACAAAGGAAAACCTTCATATACGCTAGAAATAGTTTTTAGATATATAGTTTTTCTATTGTGTGTATGTATGTGTATGTTTTAAGTGATATTACACTTTTTTAACCTATGTTGTTGTTCTACAAAAACAAAAGAATGAAGAAAAAGATTTGGATCATAGAATTGTGATAAGACCAAGATTCGCAAAAAATCCAAAGAAAAAGGACAAAAAAAGCTTCTTAGAAGCAGATTTCACAGCTCTGTTACATAGAGAGAGAGAGATGCTGATCATGAAAAAAGATCATAGTTAGAAGTCGACTGCCTGATCATTTAAGATAATAGATCAAACTCTATATTCATTAGCAAAGAATAAAGTGAGACAGTGTGAATCACATGAGAAAAGTATGTCCACCCTAGTGAATGTACTTGAGACGATGTACTTGAGTAATGTCCAGAGTGCCTGGAGATTTTTGCAAGTAAAAAAGGTACTTATCAAGTAATTTAACAAGTATAAGTATTACATAAGTACGTTATCAAGTATTTGGCAGTTAACCTGGTAAGTACTTGCGAAATATATGCAAGTAACCGAAGTTCTTCCAAGGTTTTTTGCCGTATTAAATCTAAAAATGCTTGACAAGTGCTTAACCAAGTACTTTAGAAAATTTGTAAGTAGCTAAGTACTTGATCTCAAGTACATTCACTAGAGCATCGCTTGAAACGTTTTGAGTATTCTGAGCATATTCAAGCCACTCTTACCAAAGAAATCGGCATCATGTACGTAGATAGATTTCTCTGCCCCTTAATACTGATACAAAAGTTTTCTGTAATTGATTAGCGTCAAATAATTTTAATCAATTTCTTAAGAGTGTGCATTGGGTGTCTAAATAATTAAGTTTGTATGAGAATCAGAGATGAGAATTAGATTTCTATCTATGGAGGAGATGCTAACTCATGATCGTCGGCGATAACTCACAACTCAAGCGTTTTTTTGTCTATACGCGTGATTTCAACAGAATTATTACCCAAAATCACATATATAGAGAAAAAATGACTATTTTAGTTTTTATAATTTCTCATCAACTGACGAAGTTCAAGTCCAAATGACCGACAATTACGAGAAATAAAGCAGCACGCTCTCTCTATAACCGTATAATTTTTAGTTTGTTTTCCATTGAAGCGACCCATGTCATCAATACCGGTATAATACCGCCCAATATACTGTGAGGTATACCGCCATGTAAGTCGAAATTACTGCACAGCTTACCTAACCGCACGGTATACCGAGCAATAATCGTCCGGTATTTTCTCATTATGAACATGTAGAACGAGAGTTCGAAACTGGTTTAGTTCTCTTAAGCGCATGAAGGCTTTCAATATTTTTTGGGAGAAAATCTGAATCAAGTCAAAGTTCAAACTTCGAAGAGCCGATAATTTAAAACAAATTAATCTGAAAAAAATCAAGTTTGAAATTTTCTGTTTCTTTTATACCTTCACGGATGCAAAACAAAAAGGGTGAATGGATAGACACGGTTATCGCTGGATAGGATGGATAGGGTATTTTGGTAGACCGCAGTAGTTCCGAACACTGCACGGTAACCGCGATTATCGGCGGTATTTTAAAAAAAAGGGACGTTCTTCAAGTTCATTCTAGGGCTGTGACAGTTACCATTAGCGTTACAGTAACTGTAACTGCTGAACAGTTGACGTTCTGGGTAACGGTAACGGGTAAGCAGTTACCGTACAAGTAATGATAACGACCAGTTACAAGTAACGGTAACTGTTCAGTATATCTTTCAACAGTCAAATCTCTAAATATCTAGGTATCCAGGCTGAGGGTGAAATAAAATAGGAGAGAACAGAAAGAAAGCATTTTAACTGTACTGATTTGTATCAGTATACAGCTGACAGTCTATCTATCTATCTATTTTTCGCCGTGCCTTTTCACACTGATTATTTTTGTAAAAACAAGATAATATTCCTTCCGTTATTCATAGTTTGTACGTGACGAACCTAGCAGTATAGCCCGCCCATTGATACTTAAACAGTGTATGTCAAACCAGTTAAAAGTTTACTCAATTCCCAAAGTCTTTCTCTTACGGTTTTGTTTAGTACGATTGGATTTGGATCGACTTCTGCCGGTCGAATATAAGGAGGCGGGATACGTTTACTTGGAACGAAGTAAGCGCCATGAATATTTTTTGTTTCGATATCAGGATGTGTAGCTACGTACAGCGTGGTCATTGAGCCATTTTCAACTGTTCGCATGAAAGGATATAGTAAAATTTTAAGTATATTGACGTACTGAAAGATATTTGTTCTGATAATTCCAGGATGAACTGCATTGCAAAAGAGTTTCGAATGTGTTCCTAAACGTTCAGATAATTCTTTGCAAAACATCATATTGGCTAATTTGGACTGACTATAGGCTGCATTACGTGCTCGATAACTGGCAAGGCCTGTGTTTGGGTAGGGTCTGTTTCTTGTTGCATCATCAAATTCGATATTAGAACATCTCATATGAGATCGACTCGTCACAATAACGATTCGTGACGGAACACTCTTTTTTAGATCATCCAACAATAAATTTGTGAGAAGAAAATGTCCGAGATGGTTGACTCCAAAGTGTGATTCTTGACCGTTGTTTGTCAACGCAAATGGGGGCATATAGGTTCCACCATTATTAATTAACAAATGCAAAGACAAGTGACGTTGATGAAATTCATCAACAAACTTGTGAATAGAGTCATACGATGCCAAATCAAGTTGAATAAAGTCTAATTTTAAATTATTATTACCGTTATTACCGATTTGTGTTCGTATCTCCTGGATAGCATCTTGTGCTTTCTTCTCATTGCGACAAGCCATAATTACGTGCCAACCTTTTCTTACTAATTCACGTGCAGTTATTTTGCCGATTCCTTCATTTGAACCAGTGATGATAGCCACTTTTGCCTCTACGTGAGGAATGTCACTGAAACTGTACTGTGGCATGATAATAGATGTGGTGACGGTGTAATACGATTTAAATCTTTATCGACAGCATCCTATAAGTTCAATAATCAAGATAACATGTATATACGTACACATAAACTGAGTGACGATAGCGTTCTGACAAAAACGCAGTAGAACTGACAAAAAAATCAGTAGAACTTTTGTCTCGCCCTCATGTTATGTATTCTGATGATTCGGGCGTTGTAAAAAGTACTCTTCTTAAAGAGAAGTATTTATTTTGCCAACCAAAGGTAAGTAATTATATGTCGATTCAGTGAGGGTGTATAACGTCGTAAAATCATATATATCACTAGTGTTTATTCTTTGAGAAAATAATTAATCACTAACTATCATACTGTATAGTGTAAAGAGTAAGGCTAGGTAGTCAGTTAATCGATTATCATCTGTAACATTTTCATAGTTGTTTCTTATGCTTTATACAAAGTGTAAATTCTGTGTGAATGCAAAGTAATGTCTCGAGAGTGCTCTAATTACTGCTTCAGTCAGTCAACTTTCCAGTTTTAGCACCGTTGGTCTAAAAACGAGGAAGTAATGAGAAGTCTTTTTTATTCAAATTACCTAAAAACTGAAAAATTAAGTACTTATAATTATTCTGAGAGCAGCCCAATAGGAGGAGGGAATAGAAGGAGATATAACATTTATTAGATGAGCAGCACATGGAAAAAATAGAACAAGAAAAAAACGAATAATATACATACAACAGAAATGTTTTTTAACTATACTTTTGACGAGGAAAGACAGAATGACAACTATTTATTCGATAAGATAATTTTCAAAAATATATATGTTAATATAACGTGCTTAAAACATATACTATGAGCTTGTTTTGCGCAAGGCGTACTCCCGAGAGATTCTTTTCGTGAACAGTTTCTCATTTAAGAAAAAAATAACAGAGCAGACTCCGCTGTGTTTTCATACCTAAATAACCAGCAAGCATTTATTGATAAATTTGAATTTTCATTGGTATCGTTTTTTGTTCCCACATCAGCCTCAACAATGGCTTTCTATACATAGCTTCAGCAATATCAGTTTATGTCCTGACAGACATTTGACAGCTATTCAACATGGTATTCCAGTTAACTTATCACAGTTCTAGCGATGCATTCGTGCAAAATGAATCAAAAACAATACATGGGCACTAACCTAATTGATCTGATAAATTAATTAAGGAATCAATTTAGTGAAAAGACGAGAACGTTCGATGATAGCAGATTCATCATCGAATCGTTAATTGGTATTTTATGAAAGGACAGTGTCTACACGGTGCATTGTCTGTTCCAGTGCAATATTCTCAATCTCGCATGATCATAATGTAGGTATGTTCTTTACTTTGTATTATGTTTACCTTAATAGATGCATGTTAGCCACTTAACTATAGACGTGTATCATCGTGTCTGCTTAGCAAAACTTTAAATTTATTCTATCTGTACGCAAAAAAGTCGCCATGCAGATTTTTGTTTTTTCCTATAGAAATCTGGTGCCGCAAAGAAATATGCAGACATATTTTTTTCTTCAAGAGAAATTGACAACATGTCGATTTGTGTAGAAAGAAACGTGCACAAAAAAATTCTCGTTCTGTATTTGTGCTATTATCATATATCAAACTTGGTTAATGTGAAAATGATAATGCTTTGTTAGATAGAATAGAACATTTTTTAGCAGGATATAGTATCCTGTCTACTCTCACTATCACTATAAAGGCATTTTTTTCTTCAATTCTTAAGTGAAAAAGCTATAGACATCCTTTTTAACATTATGATATGTGTATACTTTGTATTCTTCTTATTCATGCTATTTTGATTATATTAGATGCTCGAACATTCGGTAACATAGAATTTCTAAGTTACCTGACGTGATGGAGCAAGATGTATGGTAGAACAGGAAATAATTTCTGGCAAAAATCGATTGATTACGATTTAATCCAAAATTATTGAATTAAAAATTGAACTTAATCAATTTTTTTTTATCCAATCAATCCATCGGAAACATTCTGAAGTTTTTCTCAGAGACGCAGTCTTAATGAGAAACTTACGGGTTTTTTATTTGAGTTAGATCGCCTAGTTTGTGAAAAAAAGTTGTGTAATACTCCATAGAATTATCCAATATGGAAAAGTCAAAAAACTGTTTTTAAAGTTCAAATGTCAGTCACAGCAGAATTCAAAACTTACACAGATTTTGTAAATAATCGCTATAATAGATTAAAGCTTGTGTTGGTTATTTGTTACGTTAGATAGATATTTATTCATTTACTTTTCGTACTCATATTAACTTGTTTCGAAAATAAATTTTTATGTGCCCATAATTATCAAAAACATCTGTGCCCGTTTATCATTTTTTGTGCCTGGTTTTAATCGATAAATGTATTACTGCATTGATATGTGCCCGATTGGTATAAGCTTTATTCTGTCAGAATACAAGAGAAAAATAGTCCATTATAGTATTCTAAACTAAAACTATCGAACGAATAGAGATTCGAACACATGAACTTAGCTTTGCAGTAAACTGCAAAGTACTCGGTTTGCACAAGATGCATAGAGCATTATGTAATTTTGAGTATTTACAGTTTTGAGTAATTAGATAGTTCAAAAATCTGTTTCATAAATTCTGTTTATGTATCATGCACAAATAGAAAGCTGAGGTAAACGTTGACTCATTCTAATTCCGAACTGAAAAAAAAAGAAACTTTGAACTGGAAAAGTTGTGACATACATTGAATTGTGGCTTGGAGAGAATGGAATTTTGTAGAAAAATTTTTGAATGAAAACGATCTGAAATCATACGTTTCAATAAAGTGAACTGAAGCAACAACACTTAGAAAAAAAAGTAACATATTAATGTACTTACACAAGAAAATATCCTGAATGGAATTTCGAAGCGTTATGCTTTCTGATGATGATAAAATTGGTGTTTATACGTCCAGTGAACATAATCATAGTAATCGTGCCGATACAACCCGTGCTCCATCATCATTTAGAAATACTATCCAAAAATCAGTAGTAGTTGGATTAATTCAAGCACAAACATGTCCTGCTGTATAAATGAATATCCTGACGTTGTTCGAAATATGCAAGTTCCAAGTTTACTAAATTATTACCGTTCAATATTAGGACCGGATGTTGATCCAAATGATGATCTCAGTTATGTATTCGGTTGTTCTATGTAATTCGTATACTACCTCGGTAAATAGATGCTAATAATCTGTTGAAATCTTTCTGTAAACAAAATAGGCACCTGCTTTAAATCAATCTTCTTGGCCTGACTAAAGTCGGGTATATTTCTTTTTCTGGGTATAAAAGTTCAGAAGCATTTTTTTGTGCCGCTTAAGACACAAAAAATGTTCGCACCATCATGATCCACAACAAATCGGTGCAAATAATCGTCTAACTGGGTTTTTAAAGTTGAAATAATTTTTCAACTTTGCCCATAACATATTTAGTTTGTTTTACTTACTATTTCCAGATCAATTTGACTCATCATTTCATCATTAGAGAATTACTTGGATTGTTGTTTTGATGCTCATGCAGACTTTTAAGAGTGATTCCATACGCAGAATAACTTATTTATAAAATGATACTATTATCTGTTCCAGACGTCGAGGCACTCGGTTGTTTTTTGAATAACTTTTGATAAGAACAAGATGAAGACCTGCGGTTTTCGCCATTCGAAAGAGGAGACTTGGATGCATGTTTTCATAATGAATATCATTTTCAGATGAGTTTTTTGAAATAGGTTTCCTAGGAGATCTTTGGAAAACTACGTCGTCTATAAAGATTTTTCAATAGGATTGTATTGCTTTTTTCTTATGGACTGATAGCTCAGGGTGTCCTCTTCAAAATGGGAGTAAAGTGAGACCTTGATTTTCCACGGTTCGGGCGTTGTATCGAATTTTCTACAAGTCCAAGGACTGGCATCCGGTGGCTATTGGGAGCCTTAAAAACTGAGGGACTATGAGTAATCGACCATGCTGAGTCTTGTGGAAATATTTATTTTTAGAAAAAGTTTTAAAAATCTACCGAAAAGCCAGTTTTACGAAAATTAGGATTTTCAGGCTGTTTTCACCTAATATTAAAAAATTCAGTATTCACCTAAAAAACATCCGAACAAGCTCAAATTCTCAGGATATGATTAATGTTGTCCGCTAAATGTGATTAAAAGATCGAAAAGATCTAAAAGCATATTTTTGTTAATAGGTTTTCCATAAACTATTTTGGAATATCTAAGTGCTCTGT